AAGGATTTAATGGCCAAATGGTGACAGAAAAGATTGTTTTGGGAGAAGAGTACATGTCAAAAACTCTGCAGATAATGCTGAATAGCTTGATGTTATAAACACATACATAGACTAAAGATATCAAGTTGAAAAACGTTGGGCTGTCCACGGCAGAGCATAAGCATTAGCACTTATGCACTATTCCATACCTCCAAACCAAACACCACTAATGGGACGCTTATGAAATGTCCAGATAGTGGGATTGGCTTCATACTGCGATTGGTTAGATCTTTGTAAAGTTTGACAGGTCAAGGCTTAAAAGTTGTCCTTATTAGAAATTTGATAATGACATATGTGATAAAAACCTGAGTGCTTTGCTCCTGCATCCATACATTCAAAATGTATATATAACATATGTACATCTTCACAATATTAAATCTCATAAGTACATGCCCCAGTAGAAAAAGTTAAATAAAATATAGACAATGGGAAAGATGATCCTCGAATATGTGTCAATGGCATGATTGTTCTCAAGGATTATTCTGCCAACATTCCCTTTAATGGATTTCTTCCTTTTCACACGTGCTGCATCCAGAGTAGCCACACTGGCAGCCCGGCCGCGGGATGAGCTCTCCTCAGAATACACAGAATAGTTCAGGTCGGCATCACTGTCGTGGTAGCAGCCATCAAACGCCATGGCCTGCACTGCCTCTAAGTTCAGGGTTGTTGACGACTAGGAAGAAAATATACTTAAGTCAGTTTCATCTTTGATGACAAACTTTAATAGAACAAATGCACTTTTAACACTGTTTAGTTCCTTTCATATTTCCAGGCAAATTAAGCAAACTTTGGGAAATATTAGTTTACCCTTTTCTCTGCTACAGCTATCCCCTGAGATCTGTACTGACATTTTCAACAATTTTGACAGCTCTAATTTCCTTGCTAGATTAGTATCTGCATTGATAGTATCCCCTGTATCACTTTAAATGGTAACTGATTTTGTTCTGGTCAATTTAAATTAAGCACAACATGTTTCTGGGTTGTAGTAGTATACGAACAGACTGCACTATACAAAGAATTCCAATACTGCAGACTTTATTAAAATTCATGGCAAATCCAGTATAACAGTGAAAAAAGTGTATAAAGCAACCTCTATGAATAAGCTTGCGGGTGAAACATGTGAGAGGTTGTAACTGGTTGGGGGTGTGCAGTGCTGGCATTTGTTGCTTTATACACTTTTTTCACTGTTATACTGGATTTGCCATGAATTTTAATAAAGTCTGAAGTATTGGAATTCTTTGGATAGTGCAGTCTGTTCATATACTACTACATTCCAAGGTGGAGATGCACCTATTAGACCAGCACCTGGGGAGTCCTGATGGCGGCTAAGGAATTGGAGCGGTGAGATTTCCTTTGGCTCTACATATGTTTCTGAGTTGACCACTAAAGATGGGAAATTTATATACAAAGTTGCCAGGTTAATTTGTCTCTCCCAGTTACACACTTCTGCTTTTACCTTCTCTCTGTCTGAGGTTGGTTTATCCCCCTATAGAATATAGGTGTAGAGGAATTGCTTGTGTAGGAAAACTGTTCAGGGGGTTGTCCACTTTTTCACAATTACAACTCTTTCTGACCCACCACATGAAGAAAATAAGTCAATAAATCAATACAAAATTTGTGTTTTTCTGTAATAAAAATGAAACCTTCCCTACCACCCCCCTCTATAAAGTCTGTTATTTTACCACAATGAGCAACACAGGGCTGTTTCTGAGAGCACACTGGGCCAGTTGCAATCCCCTATTTTGGCCTCCTAGTGCCCAGTTCTGCTTTTTCCACAGGTTAGTCCTCTATAATAGATATTTCAAACACGGATTTCTGCACAAGGATGAAGTCTGACTTTTTTTTATCTCATGTTCTGTTTGATTTACCTTCCCTCTCCTCTTGAGCTGTTTCCGTTCCTCCACAGTGGTCAGGTAATTGACAGCAGCATACTCAATAACAGACAGGAACACAAATAGGAAACTGATCCACAAATAGATGTCTACAGCTTTAATGTAAGACACCTGAGGCATTGAGGCACTCACTCCCGTGATGATGGTGGACATGGTCAGTACGGTGGTGATACCTGTCAGTGAAGAAAAAGCCGTTTATGGATGAGTGGTAATTACTACAGAAATATGATCGATACAACAAAGGTTTATCCAAGTGAAAACTGGCATTCTGAGTATAGTCAGCGGGGTATATCATTACTGGTTCAAGTACAGTAGACTCTCTGCGGAATAGAAAAATGATATAAAGATGTTTCTATATTTTATATACTTGTTTCCACATCATTTGGTTTTCTTTCCTTGATTCATATGCTTCGCAGCACTTTAAAAGTTACAAATGAGCCAACTGCTTGTCCTGTTCTTCTTAACCCCACTCAAATATAACCAGTCAGATCTGCAATCTAGAGCAACACCACCACTTCCTGATAAGACACAAGCCGATGGGTATCAAAGAATGGGTAGTGTCCTGCCAAAATAGGCTGTATGGTCATACATACACTAATCTTGTCATGAAAATAATACATAAGCTACCATTTCTAACCTGCTGGTTGCTTGACTGCAGCAAGTAAGGTCAGCACCGCTGGTTGACATGCAACTAGCATTTTCGGAAGGTGGTCAGGTTCCTTTATATGAGCTTTGACATCACTGACAAAGCTGCTGTAGTTGTTCGTTAAACATCAGTCCCTACCCAAAATGAGTAGATATTCTAGAACAATGGCATTTAGGGGGCACCTCTAATGGGTTAAGGGGGACTTCTGCTTCTAAGAACAAATAGAACTGTAATTGAAAAGCACTACAAATGAGTGCTATCAAGGGCAGTTCAGACTTGTTGTTATTATTGTAATATTATTGTTATTGTGATTTGTACTATTTGTAATATTTTTAAAGGAGAACTATGGGGTCAGTGTTTTTCCCCATAGTTCTCCTTAGGGTAACGGGAGGACACAAACTAGCATCCTCCCGTTACCCTAAGCTCAGTATACCGCGAGCTACAGCTCGCGGTATACTGAGACGCCGCAGCCGGAGCGGATCCCGACGTAGATGACGGGATCCGCCCCGCTGCGTGAGTGACAGCTGGCTC